CCCCCCAGCTGCTTTAGAATATCAGCCTAAATCCAAGCCTAACTATATAGCTTTTAAACGCAGGCCTCCTTCCATGTGCCAGATTTTTCTTAGCACAGGAATACCATCCTCCACGCCTTTGCTGCTTATTTGGAAACTATGCTTCAAGTTTTCCCCAAATCACAGAGGATGGAGCGGGTAAGAAGTTCAGCCTGCTTAATTCTCTGGGTCTCCTTGGACATGCACAGATTTCAGGACATCTATTAGAGGCCAAAATTCTCTGTGGCCTCAGAGGGCTCCTCAGCCCACAGTCCTGGCACAGCTCAGCAGCTCTGAACCGCAGCGATTGTCCAGGCACTCCTGATGGCTCTGGAAGCCACAGAAGAGAGTTCACACACACTCCTGAGTAAACACTGTTTTACGCTGCTAATCTTGGTAGGTTTCTAAGATGACACATGGTCTCTCTTCTATATGTTTACATATCTTCATGAAAACAGATGCTCTTATTAGCTATTTTTATCTCTTATGTTCTTATAATTGCTTTTATTTTCTCTTGATCTTTTCCTGAGGATTTACCCTCTTCAGGATTAAATTCTATTAATGCCTTGAGTTCTGTGGTTTGAATACCTTATATTCCCAATTTGCCTCTCCTTCTCAGAAGGCTTCTACTAAAACACTACACTGAAATTTCCATTGCTTTATTCATGTTGTGCTTATATGCTGTTGCCTGGGAACAGTATTACCCAGGTGTGCTAGTAGTTAGGCAACAAGTTAAACTGAAAATATTGTGTGACTTGATACAAGAAATCAGTGGTAGCACATGCTTATTTTAAGAGGCTGCCTCTGCATTGATTTATAATGCACCACTCGTGCATGGAAAATTGTATCCCTGGGGACTTGCTATAGAAGCAGTAGGGGTTTTGGGGGGTTTTTTATTTTTGCTTTGATTTACAGTATATCCTTTAAGTGATCCTGTTATAATAATATTCACTACAATCTGACATGAATATCTAGGTACTCTAAAGATCTACATACTGTAGTGACGGATAGTTTCTAATGAAAATATTTCTGAAAGATAAAATAATACAAAAACCCCCATGAGAGCATTTGTTTCCAGTAGTACGGTGATTTCACAGTAGCAGAAACCAATTACATGATGTACAAATGAGTTACACCTTCCTTAGTAACTAAAATGAAAGATTTAAGACAAATATTGGCCTGGATACATTTCCATTTCTAGCCAGTCAGGAATCCCTAGAATTCAAATCTTTGATCCATGTTTTTAAAACATCCAGAATATGTTTATCCAGGAATGAAAATTCAGAAGCCAGAAATCGCCATCCAGCTCAGCATTGGAGGCCTCAGTGAGAAAGCGCAGTAATTCAACTTGTTTCTCCTACGCTCTACAAGCTGCCTGCTACTCGTTCCACCCGAAGTCCATGCTGGGGCCTTACCCCTCATTTTCCAGTTACCAATGATCCTGATGAAGACACACTTCTCTTTGTGACCTTGAAGAGCTGCACTAGAGACAAAAAAGCTAACTGCACCTCAGTTGAAGCATATTCAGGAGATGGCACTCTTGGTGGCAAGTCTCTGGCTGTGGGTTTCCCTTGTAGCAGAAAGATACCAAGTGACCACAGTTTTATCAACTTCACATTTGAAAACTACTTCTTTCAAAAGCCATTCTCACTATAAAAGCTCTCTGCTCATAAAAAAAAAAAAAAAAAGAAAAAAGAGAATGAAGCAATTAATGCCCTTTATCACATTAAACCCATTCTCCTTCCCTGTCTTAGGAACACAGAGATATATTAATAGTGCCACATAGAAAGAAGAGGCAGCATACTATAGGTAGATTGATATAATTTTCATGCTAGTAGGAACTATTGTGGTGCAATTAAAAAAAAAAAAGCTAAATGGTCTAGGAAGACAGATATAGGCCAGTATGCAGGTAACAGTTTTAACTTAAGTGTGACTCTGTTGAGTAGTCTGGGATCCAGAATTTGATGCAGGTGATGATTCTGACAACAATTTAAAAAGTAATAAAGTTTGGGCCAATTGGTCTTTCTGAAAACAGAATGATCCTTGAAAACCTGGTGCTGTCATGAGTAAAACCAGGCCTGATCTATGAGTAGCAGATGATGGAAAGGGTGGAAAGCAAAAAGCAATCCACTCTGCTGCACAGTTCAGGCCCTTCCCTGTTTTGAAGATGGTTGTGAATAATTCAATGCATTAATGCATCAATTCAAGGCATCAATCCATGCTCATTAGTTTCTTCTTGTCTTTTCCAGGTATCTGGAGGGAGGCTGCAGGTGCCAATGCAACCTCTCTTAAAAAGGCTTTTGCATCAGCAAGGCCCCACATGCATGTTCGGTGGAGTCTTACCTAGGACTAAAACTTGTTTGCTATCTTTGACAAAGAGCAAAAGAAGCTCTCCTGACTTTTTTCTTATTCATAGAGGGTTTACTCAAAATGCTCTTCTCTCAATTAGATTGTGGTATGTCATTGTGACTTGTGTCTTACTCATCAATGGAAGGGAAATCCTGGACTCATTAAAGTCAATGGGAATTTTGCCATTTGCCACTTCCTAGAGCTGCTCAAATTCTCTTCTGGTCTGGACTCTCACTGACATTTATGATACACACACCCCTGTCTTAAGGAAGTTTTGGCAAAGCTCCTGGATGAGGTCTCTATTCATTCCCACCCTTTCAGGGCCTTAACCTAAGAGGCAGCCAAACTGTGGTCATTCTGTTTCTCTTGGGATCAAACTACATTACTCGAGGTGGGATGTGGTGAGCATATTTACACATTTATTAAGTATATCTGAAGTTAAGTATATCTGAAAACTGTTAAGGTAGAGACCAGTGAGATTTATATGTCTGATATCCTGGCAACATGGTGATGGATGCTGTTTTGGTTTCTGTTTTGGGAGGAGTGAGAGAAATTTGCCTTCCCTTCAGTTAAGTGTATAACTCTAGGTTTCAAAATTATGTATTCTATTTATTCTTCAGCTGAAACCATATTCAATGTGCATTTGACAGCTAAGAAATTTCTTTGCTGTCAAAAATGTACATGCAATTGTACATGTGGTATTGCTGTACCACAGTCTGAAAAAAATTTTTTGAAGCTGAGATGACTACATTGAGTTACATTGGTCATACTGGGTTCAAGGGGAGGATTGCCTGTGAATTAAACAGTTTCCAAAGTCTGAAGACTTCTTATTTGTTGGTATTCTCAACTCCTTGTTGATTCTATTTATTGTGCTAAATCGATAATGTATGAATCCCAAGCTTCAAGGCTCTTGCCAAACCTAATTTATTTTTTCTTAATATCTTGAGGTATAATTTGGCTTTGGAGTTTCCCCCCTTTATCTTCAAAGGATCAAAAATTGGGCCAAACTAGAGAGAGAATGTAGGGAAGAATGCATTGATACTCCTAGTCTTTCGTTACTGTATTTTGCTTGTCTGTAAAAAGCCGAAGCACTTGCCAAATGCATGGTAAGAAAGACATTTCTTAGTATATTAGATTGGCATGGATAATTTTTTTCCTCTTCCTTTATAGTCTGGCCTATCATCCACTTCTTAACATAGGCATCTTCACTGAAGAGATTCCTTGTTATTGCAAAGACCTAGAATATTGGTGGTGCCATAAACCTCCCTTGTTATTGTTCTGTGAAACATTGCAGGATTTTACAGCACTTGGCTTCTGTGGGAAAGGTTTTAAGTTCACTACAGGGTATTGAGCAGGGTTGGTTTTTTTGTGGCTCGTAATGTGTGGGAATGGTTAGATTGTGTGTTTTGCTCCAAAATTTTTCACATATTGAAAGGAAAATGGATTGACTGATCCTCTCTGTCCTGTAGTGTAACTGGGAAAACGTTTCCTACAAGAAATCAGGTTTTGGGTTTTTTTGTGTTCCCATTTGATTTTTGTCATAACATTATCACATTTATTTTTGTGGCAGGGATGAGTTAAGAAGGTCAGGACTTACCTCTTCCTTTATTATGCTTCTAAAAACATTCTGATTTATAATTCTAGTTTTCTTAAGTAAGCAAGTGAAATATGCTTCCTGAGAAAGGCTTAAACTGTTCTAAAATGCTTTTGTACAGTACTTTGATAAGATGCTCTATCTGGTAGAATTTGGGATTTGTACAGAATCATAGATCACTCATGCTGGAAGGGCCTTTGGGCAGGTCTGTAGTTCAGCCTCCTGTCCAAAGCAAGTTCAGTGCTTTAGTGTTGACATCAGGTTGCTTGGCACTTTCTCCAGTTGGTCTTGAAAATCTCTAACAACTGATTCCATTGTTGCTCTGGACAGTCTGTTCCAATGCTAGTTGTTCCCCAGTTACCTTTTTTCTTATAAACAGTTAAAAATTTTACTGTTTCAGTGTATGACCACGGCCTGTTGTTCTCCCACCAGGCACTTCTCTGAAAAGCCTGGCTCTGTCTTCTCAGTAACGTCCTTGTAAGTACTATAAGACTGCTGTTGGGTCCTCCCAGAGCTGTCTCTTCTTCAGGCTAAACAAGCCTTCTTCTCTCAGTCTCTCTTCACAGGATAAGTGCTCCAGCCTCCAACCATCTCAGTGGTTGTCTGCTCAACCTACTCAAATTTATGAACATTCTTCTTGTAGTGGGGCTCTAAAACTGAATGCAGTATTCCAGACGTAGTCTTACTAGTGTCAAGTAAAGGGGATCTACTAGCCACTCTCTGACTGATACAAGAAGTATGCATGTCTTTTGGTGTTCCTGGGGATAGGTAACTACACCTTGATCCAAACCCCACGTCTGGACCCTTTTCAGTCAAGTATGTAGTGTACGAAGTCTTAATCTTCTTATGCCATGAGTGTATGTTCTTTTGTTCCATTAGTGTATTTGTTTTATAAATCGTTTGTAGTCAGACTCCCAAAATAGCTATACATTTTACATTTTTAAAATTGTCACTAGCATCTGTTTCACTACATTAAAGTTGCTGTGTGTTTTTTGTTCAGTTAATTAGAATGTATATTGAAAAACCTAGTTCTAGAGTAAATTACAAAGGATTAGGTAAATGTAGATGTGTGCGATAAACTAATGTTGTCTTTGCTTAGTTTTCAGGTTGAATAACATGGAACTAAAATAATCTGGTCATGTCCAGTCACATAGCCCTATACTACGGAATTTGCACTTTGTTTTTTTCCACAAACAAGAGCATTTCAAATCCTGAGGCATCTTGTTTCTTAGTGTATTTTCTTCTGTTTCCTTTTTAAAAACATGAAAAATAATGGAAGAATACATCTGGAGGTTATTAAGGTTGCACAGTTAGTCACTTAAAAGCTCGTAGCACCCCAAATTCAATTTGAAAGTAGATGAAATGTACACATAGCAAATTGGGAGGAGGTCTGAATGAAGTATAGAGAAATCTGCTACACATAAATGCCTCTTTAAAATGCTGTTCAGTACATCTGGAGAAAAAACCCACTAAAACCTGCAGAGTATCCTGGAGAAAATTAATGCCAAAAGAAGCACAAGGTGTCAGAGAACACAAACCAAGCCATGATTTCAACTGAAGTTAGGTAACTAAACAGACTGATGCAATTCAATGCATGGCTCTGAGCAGTGACAGTCTGATGTCATAGGCACTAATCACACACTTAAAGGTCTCACACGCTACGTGCTTTGCCACGCTGAGCCTCCACAGTGAGACATTATGGGATAAGTAGGGAATGTTGTAAGCACATGTTGCAGCCACATGGTTTGATGCTGGGCATTGCTCTACAAGACGTTGATCAACAAGGGGGCTTCACACAGAAGCAACAAAATAGCTGACACATGGTTACTTTGGACTTATATAGGTGTGAAGAGGAATAAAATTGGTCTGTAATATATTTCTATATTATATGTAGCATGTATCAGCATATGTAGTATGTATATGAATTACGACTAAATGCGTATATATATGATATATGAAAAAGTTCAAGGAAGTGAAAAATACAGTGCTTGAAAAAATAAAATAATCTTATTAAGTGCAGGGGAACGACAACTGTACAAACACCAGGTGAGGTCCTGTCTGGAATGAAGCCAAAAAGAATTTTGGCACTGGGTCTGGACATGGCCAGGATTTTCTTCAGTTCTTAAATACAACATGCCTTCTTGTCCTCCAGCTCAGTGCAGAAATGCATATACGCTCTGGTTGTATATAATCTCATATTCATAACTGTCTTGGGTATCCCCCATTACTTTCGTAAAATCCATCCTTGTTTTCCCTCTTCATTTCAAGTAAGAGAATTTGAAAGGTAGTCTTTTAGGGAAATACCTAATACCAGAGCTCGAAAGATGGCTCTGTTTTAATGTGTACACATGCAGTGGGTTTTTTGGAGTTGACAAAAGTTACAATTACACAGGTGATGTTGAAGTTTGGTCTACCTCATTGGTTGTACAGTATCTGACTGAACTTGTGGTCTATAATAAAATTTGCTATGGGCCATAGGTTTTGGTAGGTGTTTGACCTGCAAGTAACAATATGGTGAAAAGTCTTTCCTACATATGGAAATCTTCAGATTCATCCTCCTCAAATGAATCTCGCATTTAAAAGGTCAGCTTCCCTGCTAATCTTTTCAGGCCTTGATTGTTTGTGGTAATGACTGGGAGAATAATACTGGAGATCTGATCCTATAGGTAAGTAGTCTTCCGCAGAACAATTACTAAAGTCACTGAATTATGTATTCTAGACATCTGTGTACTGGATCTGTTATTTGCACGTGAAAAAGAATGGTCTGTGATCTAGAATGATCTCTAGCTGAGACAAAAAGTAGTAATGCTTTGGAAAGCAAAGAGACTAAAGAACAAGAATGCAGAAAAATTACTACTCCGGGCCCTTAACCTTAACTACAGCAGGCAAGAGAAAGAAGCCTCATAATACCAGCTTGCATTTCATAGGATGCTTCTATACTCTAAAAAGTAATGTTCTTAAATGAAAGAGTTCCCTTACTACAACGTTATAAACTTTCCAAACTTCTTTTGCAGACTTTTGCACAGCCAGTTAAGTTTAACTCTGACTTTGGGGTTTTTGAAGTAGTTAAAGATGCCCCACAACACCTGGAAAGTCAGCTGAAAAAAATTCTACATGATCAGAAGCCTCTAAACCCCATTTATGATGTTCTAAGGAAAGTAAAGAATGATGGGCAGGTCTCCAAAATGTGCAGCACTTCTCCAGCCTTCAATATTGATCCAAATTACAACACTATGGTAAGCATCTTATAGCCCCCGAGTTTATATTTAGACCTTACTGTAGAGATACTGGCAGTAGTTATTGTTGTGTTTGGCTTGGTAGCTTGGGAAAAATGTTAATTTATGTTAGGAAAACATAATGATGGGCCAAATTATGCCCTGCAATGCACATGTGTCTACCAGACAAGTGAATGGAATTACATATGTACATCCTGTAGCACAAAATTTTGAAGATTCTGTAGGGCAGGATTCAGTTGTGTGGTCTGAATACTTTTTAATATTAAAAGAAAAAATATTATGACAACAGTTACTTTACTAGTGATCCCTGGAATGTGCAAATTGACTGAAACTAATGCATCTCAGTCTTTCCTTATTAATTAATTTCCTTGTGTGGCTATGAGCTCATCTGTGGTCTGGCAACACATAAGTCTCTCTTCCATTAATTCCCAAAGGATTTGCATGGTTAGCATCAATTGAAATGGCCAGAGAAAATAATCTTTGGCAACAAGAAATCTAAATTAATGGAAAGATAGGTTGGATTTTAGAAAAAAAATCTTGTTCCGGACTTGCTCAGATTATCAATTTTGGTATTCTTACCTGTTTACTTTCAGGACTTTCTTCAGCACCAAATTAAGCAGGTTAAAATTGGGAATTGAAGCACCATATGCACCTGAGAGACTTCAAGACAGTAAAATTACTTGTGGGAGTTTACCTTTAAACAATAGCTTTGGAGGAGAAAAAATATTTCACTAGGAAACAGTTTATTCCTTTCTTGCTTACTTTGCACTGATGTGACTCCAGTTCACTTCATTCAAGGCCAGTCTAAGGTCTTGCTACATTTTTAGAGGCCTCAGCTCTAAATTATGTCATAGCTGGAAAGCTGAGAGAAAATCAGGGAGTTGTAAGAGACTGCTGCTTTGCCCAGTATAAGCTTAATGATTTTCAGAAAAGAAAACCGTGTTGAGAGAGGTCAAAAGGCAATGATGTTTAACAAAATTATAGTAATATAAGACTGCAATTATCTGCATCTAAACCGGACAAATGCTACAACAGGACAAGGCTCACAGATGTCCCTGCCATATTAAATAATTATTTTCACAAGTACTTTGCTAGAGAGCACAAAAGCAGAAGAGCTATTCTCGATTTCTTATTTGCTCTCAGGATTCAACTGAGGAAACACGTGCTTGTGCAAGTGTGGCTAACATTGCTCTCTGGGATAATCTTACATCATTGCAATTGTGGATGGTCTTTCTTGACAAATTCAAAGCTATTTCACTATTACTTACATCCTTCATGTGGTTTGGACCAACAGGGCTCCTGTGTCATTTAAGAATACATTTCTTCCTCTGTGCCATTTTCCATCGATAGGAAGCATTATGGCCTTTTGAGGAGCGGTATGCCTCAGTACACTTTCTTCTCCTTTCGTGGGGAAAGGATGATGTTTCTTCTTATTTTTGACTCCTCCTTTACTGGACAGGTAACCTAGGTGCCTCATCCAGTTCAGCTTGGCATCTCAAGCCTGAGCTGGAAGAAAATGGCCTACAAAACAGCATGCCAAAATTTGTTACTGCAAGTACACAAGGTGAAAGAAGTCCGCTTCATTCATTGTACTACACTATGACTGAACCAGAAGTTGTCATCCCAGACCAACTGCATCAAGTAGTTCAGTTCAAATCAAATGGGATTTGATCTTTCAGGCACAGGGCAATGCTGCCTCCTTTGCTTTGACTACTTTCTTCACACTGACTGAAGAGATTGACAGTTCCTTTGAATGTTACCTTGCTACAAAAAGTCACCTTGAGTGGCCATCACTGGCACATTACTAATGAAAATGAGCTATGATTGGAGAATCCTAGTAAGCCTTTCAGGCTACAGCCTGAACATCTTGCCTAAGAAATACACTCAGTGGTATTTTTCTCTGTATTTTACTCCTCTCTCAGACTGTTACAAATACAGACATAAGCAAAAGTTGTCTGCATGTGTGCATGCACACTTGCAAACTATTGATATGGAGGTAAGTATCTTATCAATAGTCAAAATCAACTTGCTGTAAAATATATTAAGAAAAAACCCGCGGAGCTGGGTAGAATTGATCACAGCTATGAAAAGGAACTGGCTGGCATCCTACATACCTTACTTCAGAGAAACCCCAGTTCAGCAAAAGCACTTAAGTATGTGTTTAACTTTAATCAAGGGAAGTTAAACACATGCTTAAACTTAAACACGTGCTAAAAGCTTTGCTGGATTGGGTCCCAGCAAGGCCTAAGGCTGACTGGGTAAGGAAGCTAACCAAGGTAACAAAACCCATCCGATTAAATGTAGTATCTTTCT